CCTGGTTCTCTCCTTAGGACATAACATCTTTTGCAACTCTTTCCAATGAAACCAAGTCTTCCTACTTTTCATAGTCTCTAGGAGCAGGAGGTGTGGGCATGCTCCTTAAGCCTCATTACCACTTTTAAACCTTTTCTTCATCATTGCTTTTCCATGATATTTCCTTTTTTGAGGTCCATGAAGTTTCTATCATCCTCTCCTTATCCATGTTGTTGTCATCTACCAACCTCCAGATTATTATCCCCACTTTCTTAATGTCTTTAGTTACTGGTTCATTGTTTTCATCTCTATTTAATTCTTGCCAGCATCCTTGGAGACTTCAATATTCATTTTAACAAACCCTCTGACAACCTGAACCCCACAGTTATTAATTCCACCCACCACCCTTTTTACTCTATTCAGCCACACACCTACATAGCTGTATCTTAAACTTCACCATCTGTAAGAATTGTACTGCTTCCAAGATTTAGATCTATGAAATCTCATCCTTCAACCATCATCTCCTATTTTTCCAGGTCTTCCATTCTCACCCACAATAAGGCTCTTCCACCCACATTGTGGCTTCTGGGTTCTTGATCCCTCCTACCCTCCCTGTTCATCACTGTGGATTTACTTGCTTCCACCCTTGACACAATAGTTTGGTATTTTAATATTTCACTAGCTACTACTGTAGAATCCTTTGATACCCTGACTTTCTGCTATTTTGGGCCTGCAAATCCTAATAACTTCCACTATCCAACATTTCCATTCTTCCTCCAAAGCTCTTGAGAATCCTTGAATTTCTTTAGTCAATGACTTTCCACCAACTCAATTGGATTTTACCCACTATAAATTCACAATCCATTGTATAACCAAGTCCTTGCTGTTGCTACATAATTCTTATAGCCTATTCTGATTAACTTCCTAGCTCATTCACCAGAGTCACTGTTTCAAACCTTATCTTCACATCTATTGCCTATAAAATCCCCCTCAATCCCAAACTTATAGCTTGGTGTAGTGGATGGAATATTGGAGTTGGAATCAGGAATTGTTGAATACAAAGTCTACCTCAGACACTTAATACCTTTGTGACCATGGGCAAATCATTTACTCTTTCTCAGCCTCAGTTTCCTTATCTGTAAAATGGAAACAATAATGGCACTGACCTCACAAGGTTATTATGAGGATCAAGTGACTATATATATGTCTATATAGGTGTTTATATATACATATATGTGTAAGGCACTTTACGAATCTTAAAGCACTATATAAATATTAGCTATTATTATTAGCCTCTTGCTTCACTGAAAGAATTGTGGCCATTTGAGGTGTGCCCTCTCACTTGCCCCATTTCATCACTCAAAATTTCTCAGGATCACTTCTACATTAGTAACCTTCAAACTCTCTTTCAAACTCCATATCTTCCTCTTCAGCTGCTTATAAGATATCACTTGGATGTCTTACTAACACCTCAAATTTGTCAGGTTCAAAACAGAGTTTGTTACCTTTCTCCCTAAACTTTACCATTGTTGACTCCACTGTTTCTGTCAGTGCCAACACCACTCACTAGGTTGGGTTTTTTTTTTTTGTTTGTTTTTTGGTGAGGCAATCGGGGTTAAGTGACTTGCCTAGGGTCACACAGCTAGTAAGTGTCAAGTGTCTGAGGCCAAATTTGAACTCAGTGCCTCCTGACTCCAAGGCCTGAGCTCTATCCACTATGCCCCCTTAGAGATTATCTTTGACTCTTCCTTCTCTCCCATCTCTCATGTCCAATCAGTTGCCAAGTTTGGTCAATTCTATGTCCACAACAACTCTTACATACACCCCCTTCTCCTAATCTCCACTTTTATCACACTGACATAGCTTACTTACAACTTATGTATCCTATATATAATAGTGAATGCTTATAGCTTACTTACAGCTATGGTATAGTGAAAAGAGCATTAAACTTGGAATTAGACAACCTGGTTCAGATCCCAGCTCTGTGACTTTCTTCTTTGGTGACTCTTGGCAAGACGCTTAACCTCCCTGGGCCTCAGTTTCCCCATCTTTAAAATGGTAGTTTGGATGCTGAGGTTCCTTCCAGCTCCAAATCTATGATCCTGTCTCCATCTTCATCCCCTACCCTCTATGAATATGTTATTCACATGGATGCCAAAATAATATGTCTCATGCAAAGCTATGATCATGGCATTACTCTAATTCAAAAATATTCTTTGGTTCCTTATGACCTCCAAAATAAAGTACAAACTCCTCTGCACCTTGCATGTAAGATCTCCCAAAATCTGATGCCATTCTACCTTTCCAGCCTTATGTAGCACTACTTCCTTCTATGCATTCTACACTCCAGACCAACTAGAGTACTCCTTGACTTTTGAACACAACCCATGCTTTCTGCCATCTATGTCTTTGCTCATGCCTCTACCCTATGCCTACTATCCCCTTCCTATTTCTCTTCGTTGAATTTCTACCCATCCCTTTAAATTTGCAAACAAACCCTACCTACTTGAAGAAATCCTCTCTGATTCCCCTGATATGTAAAGAGGACCCTTGGACCCCCCCACCCCCAGTGCACTTTGTTATGCAATTTTCGAATGCACTTATCAAGTATTTTGTATTAATTTACAGCTATTTATGTTTGTGTCCTTTATAAAACCTCTATGTGGGCAGGGAAAGTGTCTTAGCTAAATTTTTTATCTCCTATATTGCATAGCACTCTAAGCACAGTAGTAGTTGCTTAATAAATATGTGTTAAAAGAATGAAAAGGTAAAGAAACGTAAGCTAGGTGATAGAATAGCTAGGTGGATTCTAGAACTGTTTGAATGTCTGAAACCAAAGTGTCATTAATGGATTAATGTCAGCTTAAAGGGAAGTCTCTCATGGAGTATCCCAGTGATGTGCCTCTGGCTCTGTTCTGTTCAGCACTTTTATCAATGATTTGGTTTAAAACAGAAGTGGTTTGCTTATCAAATTTTTAGATGACACAAAGCTGGGAGGGAGAGCTAACACACTGCCTTTGTTGACCAAGTCAGGATTCAAAAAGATTCCAATAGGTTAAATTATTAGTCTAAATCCAGTAAAAGAAGATTTAATAGGGTCACAGGTAAAGTCCCATACAGGTTCAAAAAGATCAATTGCATAAGTATCAGACTGAGGAGGTCTAGCTAGACACAATTCATGTGAAAAAGGTTAATATTTCCTGAGGCCCTGGAACCAATTAGTGACTCTTTACATATTCGTTCTACTTTGGGCCCCAATCCCTATTCCTAAGTAGACATTTTTATTGTTATTGTTGAGTCATTTCAGTCATGTCTGATTTTTCATGAGCCCATTTGGGGTTTTCTTGGCAAAGATACTAGAGTCGTTTGCCATTTCCTTCTCCAACTCATTTTACAGATGAGGAAACTGAGGCCAACAGGGTTAAGTGACTTGCCCAGGGACACACAGGTAGTAAGTGTTTCCTGACTCCAAACCCAGCACTCTATCCACTGTGCCATATGTAATCAGTTACATTGCCTAGTATGCGCCCCTTATACTCCTTTCTCTGTCATTGATGGGTCTCCCTGTTGGTTGCTGCCTGAACCACCAAGTCAGGTTAATCCCCTCCTCCCCTGACCAGGAAGGACCAGGCTTAGTGAGCCCTAGGTAGTAATACTTTGATTCTCACAGCTGCCAGTGTCTTCTGTCCAAAATTAACTTTTTTTTGGGGGGGGGGTATATATTTTGCATAAACCTATATAACTGTATGTTGTCTCCCTTGATGGACTATAACCTCCTTGAGGTCAGGGATTGTTTCAGTTTTGTCTTTGTATTCCCAGGGCCCAGGATAGTACCTGGCATATAATAGGCAAATAATAAATGCTTTTTGATTGATTGTTTGATTGTTTTCATTAGGTCGATGGAGCTGTTATGTCCAGGACACCTATTAGCTATTGTGTATTACCCTGTAGGGTAATAAGGATGAACCTCAACCATTACTGTATTGCAGCCTGAGCAATATCTAAATTGTCTATCATCACAAACTCAGACTTTACTGGAAAACAGATCTTCTTTCCCACTCCCACCCCACCTTTGGGGGGAGGTACCAAGATTAGCCATAATCTATGAGATAGCTGAGAGAAAGAAATGTAGACTTCCCTTACTGTCTGAGCAGCACATAAGGAAAGACACACAGAGGTATTTCTGCATCAGGGAAATTTCTCTAAATGCCCAGACCAAAAAGACACACCTTTCCCTTGCACTGAAAATTTCAATATAAATCGTTAATCAGTCAATAAACAGGTATTTTAGTTTCTACTGAGGTGTACAGGTGTTCAGGGAAGAGTATTTTATGGAGAACTCATACAAGGCAAGCGCTCACATTGAAGTCAGAAGAAGTGGTACAAGGACACTCTCAAGGTCTCTCTGAAGAACTTTGGAAATGATTGTGAGACACGGGAAATGCTGGCATAGGACTACCCAGGGTGGCATGACTGCATCAAAGAGGGTGCTGTGCTCTATGAGCAAAGCAGAATTGAAGTAGCTCAAAAGAAGTGTGAGACGTGCAAATTTAGAGACATCTTCACTCCAAATATTCATCTAGACTCTTTGTACCTGACTGTGGTAGAGCCTTCTGAGTTTGTACTGGCCTGATCAGCCACAGTCAGACACACTGTACCTTGACCCTGACATAGAGATGGCATTTTGGTCCTCTTCTTGGTCCTAATATGTGCCAAGTGATATGTTAAGTGACAGGCAGACAACCAAATCCGCCTAAAGTCAATGAGGAAGGTTGCAATTGGCTTAATTGTCAACTGCCTACCTTTTCATTCAATATCCTGGCTACCAAAGTTTCTACAAACTGCCAGAATGGTAGCACAATTGCTCATAACATAGCTTATCTGGTCCTCTCTGATCTGAACTCTTAGAATTTGTTGGGTTTAGGTGGCACTAGATGGGATGAGGAACTCTCAAGAGATGAAAGAGCCGAGGCCCAAGCCAAGGATAGAGAGGCTCAGAAAGCTGGACTAAGAATACCTACCTGTGACTGCAGTTTCACCATGGCCTCCTCCATCTCTGTGTTGGACTCATTTAGCTCACTGATCTCCTTATTTAGTTGTTTGATTTCTTCATCGTTCTCAAGCACTGCAAGAAAGGAAAACCACATTGTATCCTATGTTCAGAGCTGGACAGAGATCATGAGATTCAACCCCATCATTTGACATATGTCATTTGCTTTTTGCTTTGATGCTTGAAATTCAACCCAATTCCATAAATAGAACATTTATTGCGTGTTCTGACCAGGGTCCTGTGCTTGCTTCTGGGCATATCATGATGAAGATGCAGTCTTTACCCTCAAGGAGCTTACAGCCAAGCAGGCAAAATTGGTAAATGAACAGATTAACAAGTGGGCTTTCCTGAGATGTCTGGATGTTTCCCTGGGCCCCGGACTAGCTCAGGGACACCTTAATTTAGTTCACAACTCCTGCCTTTCAGAAGCTTTCATAGAGTTATGTTTAATACAATTATCCTGCATTGAAAGGGAGGGTGGATTAGATGACCTCTAAGGTCCCTTCCAACTCTGAAATTCTTTGATTAAGAATCTGGGTGAAGTTCAGAAATAAAGAGCTGAAACTCCTTTGTGGAGACTGTAGGTCCTAGTTAGTTTTCTCTGATTTATGTTCACTGCTGGTCACTAGGGAATAGCTGAAAAATCCAGTGACCATTTTTCATTCTATAATTTTATTTTTGGCAGTAATCCACATGAGGTGGAAACAAAAACAATTTTTCAGATGGCTCCAAATTCATAAAGCTTTTCCCTTTGGCCATGAAAGACCTCTGCAGCCAAGTAGGAGAACTTTGTACATTTGTAATGAGAAAGTCGACTTCTACAGCTTTCAGGACTCAGAGATAAATACTAATAATTTACACAATAAATTGTTGGGGCGCAATTGGGGATTTCATAATGAAAAATGAACTCCCTTATAAGATATGGACTCCAAAGGGCTGAGTTTAATAGCTATAGACTTCATATTAAATCTTACTTCTGATACATGCTGGCTTGTGACCCTGGACAAGTCATGTAACCTCTCAGTAGCCCAGGCAACACTTTGTGATTTTAACTCTAAAATCATGTTGATCTGTATTGGAAGAGGGAGCTTCCTCCCTGTAGTCCCCTGTATCAATGACATCAATCACATGTCTAGTCCAAACCTCTCCCACCCCTCCTCTTTTTCTTCTCCTAGCTATGGAACAATAATCAGATCTCTGCCAATTCTATTATTGAACCACCTCAACCAATGAGAGAAGTTTATCTCCTGGAAAGCATCTACTTCTTCATAATGAATCCTGTCAGATATAGTGTATAATTTTGTGGTTGTTGTTCAAGTCTATGATTTTGATATCATATTGAGAATTCCTGGTGAGGAAATGCCTTCTACCAAAGCAGATTAACTTCTGCTCAGCAATGTATAATCTTAGAAAGTTGCCAGGGGCACTGAGAGTTTAAGTGATTTGCTCAGGGTAACAAAGCCAGTGTGTGTGGGTGTGTCAGAGGTGGGAACTTGAACTCAGATTTTCCTGATGTGGACCTGGCTTTATATACACTCTGCTGTGCTTACTCTCTTTATACTTACTTATGAAATAGACCAAATGCCTTCCTTTCCCAAATACATACATATGACACTAGGCCATGGTCTGAGGCTTTCCTTAGGCTCTGTGTATCTTATTCTAGTCCTCCTGACCATCTTCTTACCCTCTGAGTCAGTATAGTAAGTAAATTTATAAATAGTTAATATAAAGAAACAATAGCAGGAAGTAAAATTGCAAAGGGGAACCTAGAAATTGTGTAGAGACTGTTTGAAAGATCAAAGGAGCATAATTTGCAAAATGTATCATATATTAACCAAAAATCACATCTTGAGACTATGTGCTAAATCAGGGGAAGTCAGTTAGGCCATGCTGCCAGAGACTTTTGGTCTTATGATATGTAAATCTCAGATAAGTTCCAGACATTTGCAGTAAGATCAGCAGAACACCAAATGTTGCTGATAACTGTGAGATAATGTTGATGTTAATGAACTAACCTCAAAGTGGCACAGATAAGAGTTAGTCTGTCCTCCATCAAAACACTATGCCCCAACTGCCTTACTAAAAAAATAATAAATAAATAAATAAATAAAACACTATGAAAACTCCCACTCCCTCACAACTCTCCATTTGGATCCATGCCAATGAGTGCTCTTCTTCCCCTCCTCATTCTCATCCCTACACTGCCCTCCTTCCTCTACCACTCTATCTCTGTCCCCATGATGTTCCCCCCTACTTTGGCCATTTGTCTGTGTTCTTTCCATTTGCCGTTTGCCCCTGCCTTTCCCCACCCCATCCCACACACCTTCTGTGTCTTATTAAAGTGTGATTGAAGCTTTACTTCCTGCTGCCATCATGGTCTTTCCCTGCAAGGACCCAAAGAACTGGGCTTGCCTTCCCCATTTCATGATTCCATAAATTAATTAGCAATTTAGACCCTTAAATACTGATGTATATAATGAGCAGTTAAATTTTGGAACAGTTACATCATAAAGATCTTTACCGTCACTGGTCTTAAACTTTGTGCCGAGAATTTCATCCCCTGAGAGTTTTCCCTTCTTTCCCGCAAAAGTTGCTCTGGGACAGCCTGACAAACTAGGAATAAATCAACACAAAGTTGTCATCATGAATATGTCTTTGTCATCCTGAGCCCAACTCCAGGGAGACAGCCCTAAGAATATTACCCCCAAACCAACAAGATAATCCCCAGGGCTTGACTTCAATCCCATGGAAAGAGCCCTGAGAACTTCACTCCAATCCCATTGAGGCAGCCATGAGAACATCATTGTCATCACCTTAGAAGAACACCATATATTCATAAACTGCTTTATAATCTGCAAAGTGCAAAATATTATTATTACCTCATTACATTATTATGTTACATATTACCCACTTTGGCCCTTATAAAAACCCTGTGAGGTAGGTACTATGATTATCACCATTTTACAGATGAAGAAACTGAGGTTCAGAGAGGGTAAGCTGTTTACCCAAGGTCACATAGGTAACAAGTGTTTGAGGTGGGAATCTAATCCATGTTCTCCTGACTCCAAATCCTGTCTTCTATCCTTTATGCCAGGCTGCCTGTCATGATCCTACAGAGTGTCCTGAGAACCTAAACCCAACTTTAGGGAGATGGTCCTGAGATTTTGATTCTAATCTCAATGGGAATACCCTGAAGGCTTTACCTTTAGTTACAGCGTGAATGCCCTGAAAGCCTAACATCCAATACCAGGGACACTGCCTACAAAGCCAGGAGGGACAGCTAACACAATGGATAAAAGAGTCAGGATCCAAAGGGATTTTGAAAGGCTAGAACATTGGGCTGAATCCAATAAGATGGAACTCAGTAGGCATAAATGTAAAGTCTTGTACTTGCATACATGAAATCAAGTCCACAAATATAAGATGGGGGAGGCAAGGATAGATAGCAGTTGTTCTGAAAAAGATCTGAAGGTTTGAGTGGAATACAAGCTCAATATGAGTCATCAGAGTGAAGAGGCAGATGGAAAAAAAGTAATGCAATCTTGGGCTACTTGTTAATAAACCAACAAATATTTATTAAGTGCTCACTTTGTGCCAGTCACTTTTGCTAAGTATTAGGAACATAATGAAAAAGCAAAAGCAGTCCCTACCCTCAAGGAGGTTATACTTAAGATTATATGTAAATTATTACTAAATTATTATTATTATTATCATATGTAAATCAGAACATACACAATAAAAACAGAAAAGATAGAAGATAACTAGAGAAGAGAGGAATTGCTTCCAGGAATAAAGAGATGATAGCCATTTGTACTCTGCCCTGATCAGGCCACATCTGGAGTTCTTAATATCATAGTTTTAGAGGAACATTGCTAAACTGGGCAGATCCAGAAGAGAATAACCAGGAAGGTAAAGGACCTTCAGTCCATGTCATATATAAGTACTAGATGAAGGAACTGAGGATGCTTAGCCTAGAGAAGAGAAGATTCAGGAGGGAAATGACAGATTTGTTCAAATATCTGAAGGGCTATCATGTAGAAGAGGTATTAGATTTGTTTTATTTGTCTCTAAAGGGTAGAACTAGGAACAAGGAGTAGAAGTTAGAAAAAAGCAAATGTAGGTTTAGTGTCAAGAAAAATTTCCTAAAAGTGAAAGCTGTTCCAAAGATAAATGGTCTGTCTTGGTTCACAGTGGATTTCCCTTTATGAGAGGCCTTCCAGTAAGGATTAAATGACCACTGTCAGTTGCGTTGTGAGGATTCCTTCCTGGCCTGGGAGCAGTATCACAGAGCTGTAATCAACTCTGAGATCACTTTGATGAATCTGCCTTGAAAGAGCAAAGGTAGTGCCCTAGAGTGGGGAAAAAAGCACTGGATTTAGAGACAGGGCAATGAGACACACAACCCACACCTGTATACATACATATGTGGGTATATATATATAGTTGTGTGTGTATGTATATGTATGTGTGTATGTATGCAGACGTATACATATATATGTATAGTATATGGCCATTGGGGGTATTTGTTTTAATTGATTATGCATATTTGTTACAAGAAATTTGTTATGTTCTTTTTTTTAAAGTGGTAGAGGATGGAAGGAAGAGAAAATAGATTTGTTTGTTTTTTTTTAAATAGAGAGGTGGGGGTGTATAGATGTGAAGTTACAGTCATGTTTAGAGGAGGTCTCTGTATAATTAGTTTCACTTTGTTACAAGCTACCTCTCATGAAGTGGGAGTAATTTGTAAAAGTATATAATGTAAAAACAAAGCACATCAATAAAACTGAAAGTTTCATAGCTTTAAAAAAAGAGTCAGAGGAGCTGGGTTCAAATCCCACCTCTGTCACTTATTACAGGTTACTTAACATTTCTGTATCTCAGTTTGCCCAGAGCAGCATGCAAAAGAGAGTTCTGGTTATGGGGAATGTGTGAGAATAATTGAGTGGAATGGTTTGGTTTGAGATGGTTTGTTTTGGAAGTGGTCTGAGAAGGGAGAGTCCATTCAGGTGCCCATGTGATGGAGAGTTTAAGCCTGGCAGGAATGGCCTGGTAGATGGGAGGGATAGTGGGTGAATGGAGCAAGGTCAGGGAAATACAACAGAATCTGAGTAAGCAAGAAGAGTTGGCAGCTGATATTTTGGTACCCCCAAGAAATCAGTTTGAGGCAGTATCATTTTAGGGGTAATAGCAGGCAAAAAGGTAGTCTTGTTCAAGTACTGGTTACAGTCCTAGGCTGCAACCAACTCTGAGATCATCCTGGTAGATTGACCTTGGAGGACCATAAGCAATGTGATATAATAGAAAAGAGCTCTGGAATGGGAAGCAGAAAAGTTGAGCTCCAATTTCACCTCCACCACTCTTCTAGCTCTAACTCTCAGCATTTTATGACTTCAACTCTTCAAACATCTCTTGGAGGTTTCTCTTGGCTAAATGCAGAGCAGCTGAAGTTCACGCCTTGCTGATGGTTTCATCTTTCTAAAGTTTAAGAACATGGTGAGAGACACTGCTATCCTGGACTTGATTCTGGTCAATAAGGAAGAACTAGTTGGTAAAGAAAAGATGAAAGGAACCTTGGGAGGCAATGATCATGTCATCAGAACTAATGATAAACAAGGAGAATATCAGATATAGTCTAGTTAATGGGTATTAGATCTCAACTTTGGGAGAATAGATTTCAGAGCTGGAAGAAAGGACAGGGACTTTCCTATGATCTAAGTTCAGTTGTTCTGTCATTTTTAGTTGTGTCCAACTCCTAGTGACCTCATTTGGGATCTTCTTGGCAGAGGCACTGGAGTGGTTCACCCCTTCCTTCTCCAGCTCACTTTACAGATGAGGAAACTAAGGCAAACAGGGTTAAGTGACTTGTCTGGGGTCATATAACTAGCAAGTGTCAGAAACTAGATTTGAATTCAAGAAGATGAGCCTTCCTGACTGCAGGCCTAGCACTCTACCACTGAGCCACCTAGCTGCCCTTATGACCTGACACTAAAGGGTAAATCAGCTCAGGAGAATAGGGAGGCTGAATCTCAATACTATCGAAGACTTTTAAGAATGAAGTTCTGATGATGCAGTTACAATTGATTTCTATGATCTAAGAATTGAAACGCTGTTAAACAGATAAATAATCAACCAGCTAGGATTTTAATAGGACATATGCAAGATATAGAAGGGAATAAGTAACTAAAGATGAAGATTGTGAAAATGATTAATTCCTGAAAAACATTTGATAAACCCCCTCATGTCATCTTTATGAACAAAGTTGAGAGATGTGGTCTCAGTGGGGTTAGAACCAGAGTTCAAATGGCCAGACCCCTAAAGTTGTTATTAATGGGTCAATATCAACCTAGAGGGAGGTCTCTCATAGAGTGTTCCTGTGATCTCTCTTTACCTTTTGTTGTTTAATGTTTTTATTGATAATTTGGATAAAGGTAATTATGGCATACTTTTCAAAATTTCAGATGACACAAAGCTGGAAGGGAAAGCTAATATATTGTATGACAGATTCAGAATCCAATAGGATCTCAATAGGGTAGATTGATAAGTTAAATCTAATAAGGAAAAAATTTAGTAGAGATAAATACAAAATCTTACTTATAGGTTAAAAAATAATAATGATGATGGTGGTGATAATGATGATGATGATGATGGTGATGATGATGATGATGACGATGATGAAAATAGCTAGCATGTATATAGTGCCTATTATATGTCAGGCACTGTGTTAAGCATTTTATAAACATTATCTCACTTGATCCTCAGGATAATCCAGGGAGGTATGTGCTATTATTAACTCCATTTTATAGTTGAGGAAACTGAGGCAGATAGAAGTTAAGTAACTTGCCCAAGGTCACATAGCTAGTAAGGGTCTGAGGCTGAATTTGAACTCAGGTCTTCTTGATTTTAGGCCTAGTGCTCCATCTATCAAATCAATAGATTCATTTTGTAAGTATAAGTAACAAGTGTAGGTTAGGGGAGACAGTGCTAGGCAACAGTTCATGTCAAAAAAATAAAATAGTGTTTGATCAGACTGAGATCTCAGTACAAATAAACAGTGTGAAATAGTACCAAAAAACTAAATGACCCTTATTGTGATGTTAGGCTGCATTGAGATAAGGAAGGGTAAAATCCCCTCGTTTGGGTTAGTGCAAATAGGGAATAGGGTTTAGTTCCAGGCACCACATTTTAGGAAGGATGTTGACAAACTGGAACATGTCCAGATGAGGTGAGCAGAAGATTGAAGACTGAGTCACAGACAGCTATGTTGAAGGAACTAGAGGCATTTAGCCTGCATGAAAGAATTAGAGGACATAACTGTCTTAAAGGAGTTGAAGGGCTCACATATGAAAGAGGGATTTGATTCATTCTTCTGGGCTACATAGGACAAAACTAGGAACAGAGAGTAAAAGTTACAAAGGGACAGATTTCAGCTTAAAGTAAGGAAATACTTTCTAAAAATTATCCTAAAGTGAGATGGGTTTCTACTAGGCAGGGGAGTCATACAAGATTCCCAGACTCTTGCCCAGAGTCATACAAGTAGTGAGTGCTATGTGTCTGAGCCCGAATTTGAACTCAGGTCCTTCTGACTCCAGGGTCAATGCTCTATTTCCCCCCCCCCCCCAATTACATTTTAATCTGGTTTGGGGCATACTTGGAAGTATAGTGGCCGCTGCTGCATGCCTAGTGTTGGACACCTCTGCTAGGTGACCTTTCAAGCTTTTTCCAACTCAAAGATTCTCTGTTGTCTTGAGCCAAGGATACTAAGGATGACACAAGGCACTTTTTTTTAAAGTAACGTTGGGACCAGAAGAAAGATCAAGGAAGGGACAGAGATGCTTCTTGAGGTAAATAGGAAGATGATAAGGGATGTTTGTTTCTATTGCATCTACCAAGAAGAATGATCTTCATACTTAGAAGGAGATAACAAAAATGGTTAACAGGAAATTGAAATCCAAGCCCAGAGAGCACTGGCTGCCTTCAATTACTTCAAGTCAAAAGGTCAAGGTGGATGAACTAGATCCTAGGGTACTGAAAGGATTTTTGGATATAATTTCTAAGCATTAGCTTAGAAACTGAGGATTTCTTCTCAGAGATGGAAGATGGGAGATATGTTATTGGCTTAGGGATTGACAAATGTTGTCCCAATTTTTGAAGTAGAGAAGGGATGAGGAAGGAATAGAGATGCGTTCAAAATTTCATTTTATTCTATAAGACTTAACTTTCCCTATTCTGCTTTTTTACTTCTTGGAGCTCTGGGACTTTTTCTAGATCATGTTGTTCTATGTTTTGGCAGAGATTGGATGATTCCTTTCCAGGGAAGGACCTCTGGGCTCCCTTCCAGCACTATGAATCTATGGTGATACTGCCCTGAGAGCCTTACTGATCCTAACAAGAACTCACTGAGGATCAGAGCCAGATTCGTGTGACTAGAACTGGAACCTGACTCCTATGAGTTTGCCCAAAGGGTCTGATCTCAGTTCTTGAGGGATTGTGCTGGAAGTCCAATCCCAGATCCAGTGAGAATGTCCTCAGACACTGAGCTTGATCCCATGGAGATCCCTGAGAGTCTGCACGTTATTTGACTCAGAATCTGGACTAGCCCCTTCATCTCAAATTACAATTATCCCTTCCATGTCATAGGGGTTAGGGGCACAGCACCCCCACAATCTGGAAAATCCACATAAAATTTTTTGACTGCCCCCTCTTTGTACCAGAGAAGAAGTCTGAATTTTTTCTTTTTCTTTTTCTTTTATGCGGTGCTTACAGCACCATATTATAAAATTTGTATTAAGCATTTGGTCATAGGCTCTGTGTTGTCTGCTGGCCTTCTCATGTCATCTGTGGCTTCTGAAAAACTCCCCACAAATTCCCATTTAGTTTCTTATGCTGATCTGTGACATATTGAAACTGCAATGGGGAAAGTCGCAACATGGAAGGGATAACTATATTCTCCCAGGAGAATGTTCAGCCCTCTGAGAAATCCTGAGTTCTGGTCTTTGAACATCCCTACTTTAACAGGATTGTGTATGGTTTGTACTTTGTTCTTGAAAAGGACTATGACATCAGGAAGATGATGCCATGACTTGCAATTGGATTGGATTTAAGTGAGGGAGTCACCAGCCTCAGTCTCTCCTCCAGAGCCATCTGGGTCCAGTGGCCAGATATAGATCAGGACAACTGGAGATGGCCCAGGATGCAGTGAGAGACCTTGGCCTTTTTTAAGCTAAGGTCTTTCTTAGTTTTCACTTCAACAGGGAATAGAGTAAAGGAAGAGAGCTTCATCCCATGCAGATATATAGGGGGGCTACATCTTTCTGCTTCAGTAAAAACTTTTTAAAAAACAAAAGCAATTGAATCAAGCTGGGGAGGGGCTGTTTAAGACGGCACTTTCAAATGAAAATGAATGCTTGCCAGTGAGATGGTATTAACTGAGAAACAGTCACAAAGAAGTTATCAATCCATGTGAGCACAAGGGGACTTGGAGAGCCTGGGAAGCGCATTCTCTATGCTGGCATTGAATACGCCACTTTTCATGAAAGTCTATGTAAAGAAAACTTTTCTTCTGAAGTTACAATTCATGTTCTTCATCACAAATGATTTAACTTTACATCATTTAAGGAATTAAATAGCAGATTGCTAGATGCTTACTACATATTAGACATCAGGTTAGTAGATAATGAGTAAAGGAATAAGGAAATCAAAGAACAGCTAGGTCTGTTTCCAGTAGTTGGTGACATGGGGAATACAGTTAATAGGCATATAATATTGCAATTTAAAAACCACCCCAAAGAGTTTTGTAGTAAGGGAAAACTAACTCAGAAAGAGGTTTCTAGGAATCACTGTATCTTATTAATTAAAACGTCCCAAAATTTTAAATATTTATATGAGTTCCTGTCAACAGTTTAGTACTTATATAGTTTCTTTCTACAAAAACTGAGCACCATTACCAACAATAAATCATATCATGGCATGAAATCTCTGTGAGCTGAGCAGGTTGCAGTAACAAATGTGACTATGCCCATTTTATAGATAGAGAAAGTGAGATTAAAAAAAAGTAGTGATCAAAGTTAGACCCAGAATTCCTTTTTACATCATTTGATAGTCTCTTGGTTTCTTCTGAAGCTTAAACTGGTCACAGAAAGGCAAATTTGACAATATGAAAAGGTTAACCTCAAAGTTTTTCAGGAATCCCCCTGCCTTTGTTCTCAATGTACAAGAGCTCTGTTAAAGAGTTGTGCACTAAGGGAGACTGGGCATTGAGGTAGGAAAGCATCTTAGCACATGTGCTCTTGGGAAATATTGGAAAATAGGAAGTCCTCAGGACTGCTCTAGAAAGTGACCCAAAATGAGACTAAGCACTATGGAGAAAATCATGTTTTCTGAGTAAAAAAGGGAGATTATTGGCCTATGGGCTTTTTTTCCCTTCTTGCTTTATCCAATCCAATATTTTCCATTAGAATTTGAAAGTCCAGTAAAGTGTACACTTCTAAATCAAGAATGATTTATGTCCATGAGCAGATGCCAGGTGATGAAAAATGCCATTGCCTCACAAAACCCATTGTAATTTTCTATAGCTTCATCCAGGCCAGTTATGGCTATTTGCTCTCAAATTGTCATCAGTTGTGGAATAAAGAAGGAGTTCTACCCTTGAGAAACTGATGCTTATTTCTGCAGAGAAAAGGAAAAGATCTGAGACCCCCATGGTATTCTTCCACCTGTTTCTATGTCGACGTGAGTGGCTGCACACCTAGACAGACAGATCAGCTGGTGTTAATCCCTGACTTGCATGATCCTGCTTTCCTTCTGTCCCCCTTCACCCTCCCCCACATACGTAGTCTTCCTCTCTCATAGAGTCAATGGAGAGCAGCATAGTGTGCTCTGACTGTAGGTGAGTCGTTACCTTCTGTGTGTGAGGAAGCTCCCATTGGCATGACCTGAGCCATCACAGCCAGGAGTGGGACAGGTGGGCCCCTCATTCTTCAGTGATTTCCAGGAAAATGATGAACCATTAAGTGATCCTTCCTTCTGCCTCCGGGCTGCCAGTGGACACCCGGATGCACTGCGATGGGAGGCATACTTGCCACTGATATGTCCAAGGCCAACACAGCCTGGAACAGGACACCTATGCCCCCCAAAAAGAAAAAAAAAGTCAAAAATTAGAAGAAAAGGAAGCAGGTAAAATGGGAGATAACTCCTGCTGTTAAGGAGGGGAAAAACATGATTTTTCCTGGCAATGAGACAAGTAAGGCACAAATATAAGTGGGCACAGCAATGTACTTGGGAATTAGCCATTTCTGTCTCTAGAACAGGACTCTTATCACCTAGCATGAGGATCATAACATCATAAATTTAGAGCTAGAAGGGACCATAGAGCCCACTGAATCTACCTTTCCCCTTTCTGTAGATGAAGAAACCAAGGCACAGGAAAGTTAAATGAAGCATAAAACTAATAAATGTCTGAAGTGGAATTTGGTGGAATTTGAACCCAGGTTCTTCTGACTTCAAGTCCAGCACCCTATTGACAGCACCATGCAATCTCAGCAGCAGAGATATCAAGATGCCTGAGTCTTAAGAGGTTATGCCTGGCAGAGATGAAAGGCTCCAAGTAAAAAATATTAATTGGGCACTGCACTTGGAATGAGGAATACCTGAATTCAAATCCCATGTCAGAAAATCATTAGCTGTGTGACCTGGGTAGGTCACTTAACCTCTCTGTGCCTCAGTTTCCTAATCTATAACATGAGAAACTTGGGCTTCACTCCTTTTAACGTCCCTTTCAGCACTGAATCTATGATCCTATGAAGATTGCCCCCCCCAACTTTGTGTGACCTCCTATCTCTATCCCTGCTCACCATTTCTTTGAATAACACACGACCGCTACCTAAGGAGACAGCTGACAGGCTCCTTTCATTTTTTCAGATCCTCTCCTTTATAAAATTTCTGGAACCTTTACACCAAATACATATATTCTGGAGGGCATGGGGACCTTCAAATGTCCCTTCCTGAAGGTAATAACAGCCAAAAATAGCCAAAATGGATGCAATCCTGGACTTGGGGTTAAGAAGAACCAAGTTCAAATCCTGCCTCAGACACTTGCTAGCTGTGTGACCCTGGGCAATTCACTTAATCCCTTTCATCATCTATAAAATTGGGATAATACGAGCCCCTAAATTATAGGGTATTATGAGGATCAAGTAAAACAATATGTAAAATTTTAAAATAAATGTTAGCTCTCATTATTGTTGCTGCTTTCCCAGGATACTACTAGTCTACTTACTAACCTTTAGCTTGGATTTGATTCCTAGATAGTGAGGGAGCCACGTACCATTGTCCATACCACAGATCTTTCCAGTACTCAGGAGAGGTGCTAATAAAGCCCAGTTGCTGCCTGATACTCATCTGTGTGATTTCAATGTTGACCTCAGTACCTTCAAATCCCTGAATAGCTGTATTTAAAATACAGAGACTAGAAGAGGTCCTGTCCTTATTAGGTGGGAAAAGAAAGTTGGGATGGGATATGGCTTTGGTAGCCTTCCCCTTGACCACGGGACTCTGTGATTAGAAAGAGAATGTCTTGGAAGGTAGAAAGTGAAATCAGAGGCAGGACAATGGGATCAGCAGGAGTCACAAAGCCGATGTGTACTACAAGAGGGAACCTCTCCTGCCAAGGTAATCCCAGCACTCCAGGGAAAGAACTGTGTGAGGGAGCCAAGGAGACATACTATGGAACAAATGCTCTGGTTAATATCAACTCCATCCATCACATCAAAGCTAGAGTTAGAATAGGACAGTCCAGTAGCGTATATATGTAAATTCAGATTCTATTTCTTGTGTTAAAGTGCACACTGTAGAAAAGTTGTAAATACAGATTTTTAAGATAGACTTGGCATACAAGGGACACTCCTGAGAAATAACATTCAGCTGTCTCATATGTAAACCACCAATTTGTTGTTGTTGTTCAGATGTTCAGGTGTGTCTGACTCTTTGTGGTTCTGTGTAGGGTTTTCTTGGAAAAGAAAATTTCCTTTTCCATTGGATTAAGGCAAACAGAGGTTAAGTGACTTGCCCAGGGTCACACAATTAGTGAGTGTCTGAGGTCGGATTTGAACTCAGATTTTCCTGATTCTTGGCCCAATGCTCTATCCACTAAGCTGCCTTTGGTGGTGCTTTGCAAAAAGCCCCAGGAAGAGCTTAAGGTTCCTGAGATCTGGAGACTTTTATTTAGCAGCTGCTGGTCATCATCCTCTGTGTCTCTGATTTAGAAGCCCAAGAGTTTAGATGGTATTTGAAATGACAGTATAATTTGAGAAATAGGCTGATAAACCTTAGAAAGTTGACATCAAGTAAAAGTTATACAGACATGAGAATTGCAAACACCAGGAAAACGATTCCCCCCCCCCCCATCAATTTCTCTGAATGGCGACATCTCAAGAGAGATGGATCAGGAATGAGAGGACCTGGGTTCAAAATCTAATTCTGCTACTTACTACCTGTGTGACCTTGGTCAAGTCACTGAAATTCTCTGGATCTCAGTTGCCTCAGCTGTAAAAGAAGGGGTTGGATTAGATAATCCCAAGCTCCTTCTATCTCTAAATCTATAATCCTATGACCTTTAACGTCACTCCTAGCTTGAAAGTCCACAATTTTGCTGGGCATGGTAGCACGTGCCTGTAATCTCTGCTACTGGAGAAGGCTAAGCTGATGGATCATTTGAGTTCTGAGATGAGGTAGGGCAAAAGCTGCTCATGTGTCCTGATCAGAGAAGTCAGGCACGAATATGATGATCCTTGTCCCCAGTAGAGGGCCACTAGGCTGCCTAAGTGAGGTGAACCAGCCTAAGTGGGAAGCAGAGATTAAAGTTTCTGGACCAATAAGCATTAGGATTGGCCTGTGAGTGGCTGCTGCACTTGGAGATAGAGAGACCTAGTCTCAAGGAAAAAGAAAAGAAAAAAAAAAGAAGTCTATATCTTTGAAGTCATGAATCTGTGAAATCAGAGAATCTACCCTCAGGCTAGTGACAATAACTGACTCTCCTGGTGACTGATGTTGATGTTTAACATCTGTGTAACCTTAAACAAGTTACTTAACTTTGATGTGCCTCAGTTTCCTCATCTGTAAAATGACATTGTTGAACTCAATGTCCTCTAAGGCCCCTTCCAGACTTAAGTCCTATTACCTTACAAACACCTCTGAGGCTCAGATACTATAATTATTAAATGTGATGATGATGATACAAAGCCATATTACGCCTATCAAACATCTTCTTTGGTAAAATAATGTGTGTGGGAGACTGTTTACTTGGCTGCTTAAGTTTCACTTCCTCCATCCGGTCTTTTCTGATTCTCCAGTCCAAGCTGATGTCTCTTTCCTGGACTTAGACTTATAGCTGGTACATATAGGTTAGTCTTGCATTGATCCCTCTTTCCTACCAGTGATTTTTGCCTTCCTAACTCTATTGTATACTCCTGGAAGGTAAATAACGTGCCTTAAATCTCCTATACCTCCTTCGGTATCTGGAACACCCTGGAACATGCAGTATATGTCCAACAAAGACTGTTGCTTCATTGATTGGATGATGTGGACAGTGTGTGTGTGTGTGTGTGTGTGTGTGTGTGTGTGTGTGTGTGTGTG